CAGCCCGAAGCCAAGGTCTTTGCTACATCCCCTGAAGCTTCACAAGAAACAAAATGAGAGAGAGAGAGAGAGAGAGAGAGAGAGAGAGAGAGAGAAAGAGAGAGAGAGAGAGAAACAGGGAGACAGCAGAGCAGACTGGGCTTAATTTCTTATCCTCCTGCCTCAGCCTCCCAGAATGCTGAAATTACAGGCATGTATCACCACACCCAACCTCATTTTTACTACCTTTCCTCTTTCTCTTTTTCTAGTAAAGACAACAGCTGAGCACGGGAACAGCAACAGTGTCAGAAGTTTTAAAATGGAAGGAAAATAAAAAGACCTTATAATTGTAGCAACTGTGACTCCACTAAGCTTTTTTTTTTAATACTTTGGATTGAACCCAGGGCCTCTTGCATGCTAGGCAAGTGTTCTACCACTTAGCTATTCCCCAGCCCAGACCCAACTTATTACCCAAGCTATTTTGGAATGGATAAAAAAAGGTAGCTCCCTCCCTCGCTCCCTCCCTCCCTTCCTGTCCTTTCCAGGGGACCCACTCTGTTCTCCGCAGAGTATATCTCCTTTCCTGCTTAACTTGGCACTCACTCTGCAGAGAATTTTTCTTTTTTTCTTTTTTTTTTTTTTTTTTGCCTTTTTGAGCCAGGGTTTCACCATGTAGTTCAGGCTGGCCTTGAACTCACAAGGGTCCTCCTGCCTCAGCCTCCCAGTGCTGGGATTACAGGCATGCACCACCATGCCCAGAGCACTTCTTTCAGAGCACTTTCTCTCCCTTCTCTTTCTTTAGTAAATGTAAATTTTGCTGCTTAAAAAAAAAAAAAAAAGAAAACATAAAAGAGGAAAACAAAATACAGAAAGATATGGTTCCTAGATCAGCTCCCTTTTGCTATATAATAAACCACCAAAACAAAGATGGCTTGAAATGACAACCATTTATTTCTCACACGTCTCCTCCCCATTTGTTTGTTGGCCCTTTGGACCTGGCCCAGCTTAGCTGAGGTGAACAGTCTAGAACTCCAAGGCCAGCTCCCTCACAGGTGAATCTCAGGCGGG